TTTTTAAACTTGCTCATTTCCTTTATTCTTGATTTTTTTTTTTTCAAAATAAAACCTCTTTAAAACAGATGAGCCAGCTTTTATTTTGGCACTGCATGTAAATTCCCACAAAGTGTTCTTCAGTTAAACAAAGCATTGAAAGGCCGGTCACACACAGGTTTCATGTTTTTACTATATTTTCAGGTAAATAAAGCTCCAGGTCCAACTCTCAGGTGTCTCAATAATCCTGAGATCTTCATGTCTGGATCCTGTTAGTGGACCTCAGGGGTCGGCGGTCCGGCTCCTCAGAGTCCTTTTCCGTGTTGGGGGTCTCTGCGGGAGGAGTTGCGGACGCCATGAGAGAATCCAGGCCTGTTAAGGATGGGGGCGCGTCTGGAGACCAAGAACAGGCTCTGCAGGTCTGCAGGGTCGTGGGACGTGTTCCGCTGACCCCCTGTATGGATGATGTTTATGACGGGGATCCTGACCTGGGACTTTGTGACCACGCAGGAGCTGGTCTTGCTGTACTGTCTAACGTCCTCACCTAAAAGAGAGATAAAGGAAACGAGCACCAACAAAACAAGTTTAAGCTTTAAAAAAAACAACAAAAATGACTGAATAATTCTGAAATCCATTAGTTATTGATGATGGAGACAATGAAAAAAACAATTTAAACTTTCAACAAGAGTAATAAATGTTATTGTCACTCTTTTGTCCACTTTTTTATTAAACAACCAAAAATATTTCTTGTTGAACTAAAAACCTACAGGAGCTGAAAGTTTCTTAGTGTCTAAAATAAAATAAAAAAACTATTTTCAGGAGTGTTCACCTCCACACTGGACCTGCTGGTTGCTGGTTCTGTTCTGACTCTCTGACTGCAGGCGGTCGGAACTGTTCTGGCTGCTCCGGTCCACTCCGGGCCTGAGGGAATTCTGCTGAGTCATGTGTGAGTAGAGCTGCAGAAAGACAACAGAAAAGTGTTGCGTCATAATGACTGCTCAGCAAAAGCAACGTGAAAGAAGGAAGCTTAAAAAAAACAAGTATTAAAATATTTAATTAAATGTTGACGATAATCTCACAAGAACACTTATTATTATATTTAATTACTCTTTACAATTAAATCAGAACCACAGCAGAAGTTCTGATCATTTTCATTTCTACATGTTTACAGATTAAAGCATCAAATATAATCTGAGCTGCAGGAAGTGGTTTATTTCCATCTGAACTAACAGCAAAACAACTGAATTATTGGCCATTTTTCTATAAATATATTTCAAAAAATATATAATTTCTGTCATTATTTAAACAAAACACATAAAAAATAAGTAAGTAAGCTTAAATAAAT